ACACACACAGACACAGACACAGACACACACACACACACACACAGAGAGAGAAGACAGGTCAGCTGAAGAGCAGCCCATAATAAATCCATGAAAATGATAGTGTGGGTGTTAGGACCAAAGATAACAGGTTTTATTTTAAAGATAATAAAGAAAACATGTTTCTGTTGCACAATATATAGACTGACACATCGGAGGTGGTTATAAGTTGTCTATAGTACTCTTGTATATAGTACTTTCTTAAAAGCAGCTCAAGCCTCGTTTACGAATTCAAAAAATATCATTTTAAAACTAGTATCAGAGGCTTGAGATACTGACACGCAGTTACTAGAGAGAGACTTTGAGTTTTAATGTCATCTGTAATACCTAATCAATTACTTAGAGAACAAGAAGAAAACATTAAACCTACAAATTAAAAATAAAAGTTCCCTGATCATCAGGTTCACATATTAAATAACACCCCATACATCGCAAAAAGACTTGGCATCATCATATCATTAAGCTGCTTCATATCATAAATCCTTCTCTCGGTCTGCTCCTTCTCTTCATTCTACCTTATTTGGGCACGTACACCATAATGCTAACTTTGCCACACCATATACAGGATTTAATTAAACCACTTTTAAATGTATTTATTTTTTAAATATTTATGTATTTTAAATAAACCATGCTTGATTAAAAGTGTCTATAAACTACACACTCCAATTTTTTCTTTAAAAAACACGAAAAAACATAATCTTCATAATAATAATGCATGCATCGTGTCTGTTTGTGGCGTTGATTCTCCACTGAAGGTCTCCCACCTTCTCTGTAATGGGTTTTTCATTCCTTTCTGGGAAGAACCTGATTCATACATCATTGTCCATTTAATGTCTCTTACATCCTTAAGATGTTGATAATTGATGTTTTTTACACAAACTCTAGAAAGTGTGTTTTTGCTTAAAAATCAGTTCCAGATTGCCCATGGAAGTCACATTTCTTGCATCTTCCTGCCAGTCATCATTCTTCATAAACACATATCATTCAGGAAAATGGGTAAAACCTCCAGCAACGCAATTATCAACAGAGAACATAGTCTCAAGATCATCGAGCATCCGGTGGATGAAGCGCTCAGACCTGAAGCCATCAAACTTACAGTGTGGTTTTCCAGCTCGGTCCACTGTTCAGATGGCATATCCAGGAGATTTCAGGATTTCAGGAGACTCCAGAAGATTCCAGGAGATTCCAGGATTTCAGGAGATTCCAGGATTTCAGGAGATTCCAGGAGATTCCAGGATTTCAGGAGATTCCAGGATTTCAGGAGATTCCAGGAGATTTCAGGAGATTCCAGGAGATTCCAGGATTTCAGGAGATTTCAGGAGATTCCAGGATTTCAGGAGATTCCATGAGATTTCAGGAGATTCCATGAGATTCCAGGATTTCAGGAGATTCCAGGATTCCAGGAGATTTCAGGAGATTCCAGGAGATTCCTGGATTTCAGGAGATTCCAGGATTAAGGATAGACCACAACACAGCGTTCGGCAAGCTAACACAACACTTTGGTGAAAAATAGTTAGTCCTTCCAAGGACGACTCATTTCTCATCCACGCTCATCCTTCTGGTTTTACGCAGCAGCACATGCGCCACTTCCATGCACTGCTGATGCCGATAATATAAAAGATTGTGCTACTTGAAAATAAAAAAATAAAAAACACTATCCTGAAATGAACGTCACTTAGTCCTTGACCTCTGTCCTGAACCAGAAGATAAAGGACAGCAGCTTTTAACCATTGCTGTTCTGATCAGAAGAACTATAATTATGCATTTAACAGAATCTTTTGAATATCTTCTATTATATTTCTCGGAGAATCCAGTCTATTTATGCCAAAGTGTATGAGCAATAAGATGATCAGGACATATGTGACCCTGGAGCACAAAACTAGTCATAAAGGTCAATTTCTCGAAATTTAGATGTATACATCAGCTGAAAGCTGAATAAATAATCTTTCCATTGATGTATGGTTTGTTAGGATCGGACAATATTTGGCTGAGATACAACTATTTGAAAATCTGGAATCTGAGGGTGCAAAAAAATCTAAATATTGAGAAAATCATCTTTAAAGTTGTTCAAATTAAGTTCTTAGCAATGCATATTACTAATCAAAAATTAAGTTTTGATATATTTACGGTAGGAAACTTACACAATATCTTCATGGAACATGATCTTTACTTAATATCCTGATTTTTGGCATAAAAGAAAAATCAATAATTTTGACCCATACAATGTATTGTTGGTTATTGCTACAAATATACCCCAGCGACTTAACACTGCTTTTGTGCTGCAGGGTCACGTATACGACAGCTGGGGAATCAGCTGCTTCCATTTAGTCTTTACAAGAACATCCTACTAACCACTGCTCGTTCTTCATTTAATATTCACTTTTTCCGAGATGAACGTCCTCTACTATTGCCATAATGTATACTATTGCCATAATGTTTTTTTTTTGCCATTTAAGTTTGGCTGATGATGCCCCTTCACAGACATCCAGATCTTCCTTTAACTCTCCAGCATCCTAACTATAGTCTAATGGTAATATCATCTGTCTTCTCACTTACAGAAACACCTGTTAATTTAGTTCTTCATAAACACAGTAAGATCTCTACTGAGTCCTCTCTTCATCTGAACTGGTACCCTTGGTAAACCACCTCCTATATTAACCAGCATCTGACCAATACATAAATAAAGAAATCCTCCAAACTCATAGCACTCATAGCACACACACAATCTGATTTAGAGAAAACAGACCAGCATCAACATTATACATGTCTCTTATTGAAAACTAATGATCATAAATAGACCTTTTGGGTGTACCGTACTGTATGTTTTGTCTTTATGTATTCACAAATCAAGAACTAAGTCTGTTTGCCCAATACTTAGATCATATGGTAACAACAACAAGGTTGTTTTTGTTGACATTAGCTCATGCATTAGTTGCCTCTATGCAGCATTATTTAATGCAAGGAATATGTTTGTGTGTTTCGAGTTTATGTATTTATAATGTTGAGAGATAACTATGTTCAGCGTATACACTTATCCTGAAGGTTCACAAAAGTGCATAATAAGAAATACTCCTTCTAAGGTAAATCATGTTAGCTAGGAGCTCACAAACATCACAAACACGTCAGCTGATGTTCAAATGGTCTCCACTCTACAGAGTTTCACTAAAACACTTTTAAGTAAGTTTAATAAAGTGCTGTTCATTGAGCAAAAGTGTTGTTGATTGTTAATGATAACTAATGCATTAAGTAATGTTAACACATAGCATGCACTTTGAAATGAATATAAACCAAGATTAATGTTGTAAAGACATTAGTTCACATTAACAATTTACATTATAGATGTTAAAAAATGTACCGGATAGCAACAGCTGCTGTATAAGCATGTTGCCCAATATCCAATATTAATAAAAGCAATCTTACTGTAAAGTATTACGTTTGTTTATTGACCCTAAACAGCACCAGTGTCTATTACAGGACACATGCAGCACAGTACCGAGTCTCTGGGAACCCAAACACAGCATGACATTAAAATTCAAATCCTTTCACGCAGCAGGATTTTGAGGGAAATCTGAGAGTTACGTAATGCTTGGAGCAATCAGTGTTTTCTCAAGAACACAGGATCAGAACCGGGATCAATGAAAATCTGGGGAAAATCCTCTGGCCACGCTTACAGTGACTGAAGAGACGCCTGAACGACAGTCGAAAGAGTTTGTGACATGAGGAGAAACATCTTAACATTACATAAGAGAAGAGCCGAGTCGCTCCACAGACGCTTCAAACAGAGACGAGCGCCTCGATCCTCACAGAAAAACATGACAGAACAGCAGCTGCACTATTTACCAGACAACATCCCTATCCTCGGAAACTCCAGTGTTCTTGATTTTTAAGACGTTGAGAAATTAAGAAGTGAAGTGGCATCGCGTGTGTTTTCATTTTATACACCATCCGCTCTCACACATAAACATTTCAATTCACAGCATTAGTGTGTTTGGAAAGAATGCAGTAAATGTCTGATACTTGGATATAATATTCTCCAATCAAAAAAAAAACTACCACTGGTGCAAGACATGAGTGAAATGATTTCATAAATAAATAAATACATATAAAGTGCATATATACTGCAATGCAATATATATGTGACCCTGGACCACAAAACCAGACTTATGTCTCAATTTTTCAAAATTGAGATTTATGCATCATCTGAAAGCTGAATAAATAATCTTTCCATTGATGTATGGTTTGTTAGGATAGAACAATATTTGGCTGAGATGCAACTATTTGAAAATCTGGAATCTGAGGGTGCAAAAAAATCTAAATATTGAGAAGATCATCTTTAAAGTTGTTCAAATGAAGTTCTTAGCAATGCATATTACTAATCAAAATTAAGTT